AGACGATCAAGCAGAAGTTTTCTGTGCCCTCTCCTGGCTTGACTTTGAAACTGCAAGACAGTGATCTTTAAACTTCACTGGGTGGGTCTTTCCTTAGATAAATTCATGATCTCCCCTCCCTTTTCTCTTGCCCCAGGAAGCTTATTCGGACCAGAGAGAGACTGAGCGGGCCACTTATTTGGCATCCGGATAAAAGTGGTCAGATTAATCAGGCTCCAGATGTCCATCCGACAAGCAAATAGACCAAACAACCAATCTCGCATTCAAATAGTACATACCATTTTTGAGATTCAAAAATGATGCCATGGGGCGCCTGGGTGGCTTAGTCGGTTAAGCGTCTGCCTTCAGCTCAGGTCATGATCGCAGGGTCCTGGGATCGAGTCCTGCATCAGGATCCCTGCTCAGTGGGGAGTCTGCTTCTCCCTCTCCCTCTGCCTGCCGTTCCCCCTGCTTGTGATCTCTATCTCTCTGTCAAATAAAAAAATTAAAAAAATCTTTTAAAAAAATGATGCCATTATTTGGAGGTAACTCCATGTGAGTGTGTAAAGTATTCCCTGAAGCATTGTTGAGTGTGTAACTTTATAGGTAAAATAAAGAGTGGGGAGTTTGACAAACCTGTATGAAAGTTTTCTGAACATGCTAAAAAATACCTATTTTTCTTTAGGGCCGGGGACAAGGAAGTATAACAGTGTAACTGTGTGACAGTGAGTAGAGTGTCCCAGAAAGCCCCCGGCCAGGTGTCTCAGGGAGGCTGGAGTTGATGCAGGATCATTTCTGAGCCTCTGCAAGCACAGACAAGTTTGTTGACTCCTTCTGTGGAACCCTTATATCATTCTTTAGGCCAGAGGGAATCCATGCAGACAGCCAAAATGTACACAATGTCTTCCTCATGTTCTTTGACTGTCATAGCTTTTTGGCTGAAATAGCAATCAGCCTAGAGCTGCCCTCAACAGCTTCCAGAAGGTCCACTCACTCACCCACCAAACATTTATTCTGTTACTTGTTTTTTGAGGCACTGCGATTAGAGGCTGGCCAAAAGGACGAAACACATATTGGAACTTAGAGTTCACTAGAATGGTGCTTTGGAATCTTTTTCCTGTCAGGGCACACACTGAAAAATCATACAATTTGTATGTCCCATTGAGGTAAACGTGGATGGTGGGGAGTTGATTTAGGGATCTGTATGTGATTTGGTAAAAAAAAAAAAAATTAATTACATTTGCTACATATTATATGATTATGATTTGGAAAATGAAAGTATTAGCATTAAATATTGAACTTATATAAAATTTCCAAATAAAATATTTTCCAAATGTTAGCTTTCCTTTGTGAATATCGCTTTTTATTATCAGGTTTTATGTTTGAATTGGCTATATGCAATAACTACCAGGACTTTTCAAGAAGGATTCCTTCAAGGGGTGCCTGGGTGGCTCAGTCGGTTAAGCGCCTGACTCTTGATTTCTGCTCGGGTCATGATCTTGGGGTCGTGAGATAGAGCCCTGCACTGCCCCGTGTTGGCGGGGAGTCTGCTTGAGATTCTCTCCGTCTCCTTCTGCCCCCCGCCCCTCACTCGTGTGCTCTTCTTGCTCTCAAAAATAAATAAATAAATCTTGAAAAAAAAAAAAGAAGGATCTCTTCAAGTAGCCACGAACAATTGGAAACTCAGGTAATAAAAATTTAAAATTTTAATATTAGACATTTACAGAAGTTAGACTTATAGAAGCATCTTATTTTTCTTTCATTAACAGTTGTTCAATTGAAATTTCTTGTGGTAACAATGGATTTTTAATCCGATCAAACGCTTTCCCGGCAAGCATTTCAAATTAATGACAGCTCTGATTGAAAGCATGCTCCTTCAGAACAAATACTTAAATATCCACTTGGTATGTGCTGGCATGCACTGTTTATGGCTAGCTGGTACTTGTTCTGATTGGTCAATGCCTGTGCCATCTCAGAGGTTAAATAGTTTTAATACCACCCTGCCATCAGCATTGTTCAAGCAGTCACTCCGAAGTTAGCTTGGACCCTGTTTGGACATCAGCCAAAAATGGACAGATATCTGATACGAGGTGAAGACGGATTTAGGTCAGCCGTCTGGGGCTGCTCTGGCCCAAACCTCCCAGCCAATCTCCTTGCTCCTCCTCCCCTGACCCCCTGCACCTTGCACTGCTGCTTGTCCTCCTTGGGTCCCTAGCACCCAACTCCTCTAGAGGGGCATCGAGCCCTCGCCCCTGAGGGACAGCTGTGTAGTCTGCAGCTGGCCTCTGAGGTCGATGTCCAGGTGGTAATGCATGGGAAGCCGCCAGTGCTGCGGATCCTGCTGCCTCCTTGCGGGGGTCACAGAGCAGGATGTCAGACTCCGAGGGGCTCTGTGTGGCCTGCATGCACCCAGAGGTGATTGGCCTCGCTGGCGGCTCCAAGGACCATGGGATCTTTATGTTATATAACCACCTCCCCCCTCGTAACCCAGCGGCAAACACCAGTGCGCTATGACCACTGGTTAGGAAACTCTGCAGTAGAGAGAATAAAACATACAATGATGACACTACCTAGTATTTACCAATTTTTGGTCTCACAGTGCTCTGCACGGTGGACCTCGTTCAGTCCTGATAAGAACAACCAACAAGGGTTATCATTCCATTTGGCAGAATAGGAAATAGGTTCAAAAGGGTGAATTGCTCAGGTTGACATGCTAAGTCCACGCTTCCCGGACCGGGTGCCTTGGGGATATACACATGGGTGTGCTAGTTTATTTATTTTTTTTATTTTTTTATTTTTTAAAGATTTTATTTATTTATTTGACAGAGAGAGACAGCGAGAGCAGGAACACAAGCAGGGGGAGTGGGAGAGGGAGAAGCAGGCCTCCCGCCAAGCAGGGAGCCCGATGCGGGGCTCGATCCCAGGACCCCGGGACCATGACCTGAGCCGAAGGCAGACGCTTAACGACTGAGCCACCCAGGCGCCCCATGGGTGTGCTAGTTTAAACAACGTCCGTTATTGGAGTGATAGCTTCACTTATAAATTTGGGGGGGAGCATTAAACTGGTAAATAAGATCAAATGTTTTTATACTAATATAAACATGTGTTATGAAACGGAATGAAATGGCACAAATTTGCAAGATCAGGCATGAAACTTCAATGAGACGTTGTGCTGGACGGGGAGCTACTTTGAGCTGTTGCCCCAAACCCACAGGGAATGCAAATGAGGTCTCTCTCCCGCCACAGTCGAGATACACAGAGGGTGGAGCTAGGATTTAACTTTTTTTTTTTTTTCTGATCCCAGCTCCTGTACTTGTCCCTGGTTGAAAACGGTGAGAGTTTTAAGAGTTCCAGAGAGAGTAGTTTGAGTGTGGGCTTCAGCAGAACATGGGTCATGTGAAGATGGGAGTCGTGGGAGAGAACATTCCAGGCGAGGAGATGGTATGAACAAAGGACAGGAGGCAAGAAAGTGAGGGCTGTGTAAGGTGAACAATAGCTTGAGGGACAAATACACAAAGATGTATGATGGGAAACTGAATTAGAAACGTGGATTGGCTTCAGGAAGCATTATCTGACGGGAGAGTGGAGACACCAAGTGGAAAGCTAGAGGCGGGAAGGCCGGAACCACAGTTACAGCAGAGGGAGCGAGTGGGGGGCTTGGCCGCAGGAAACCACCAGGACTTACTAAAGGATGGGGCAGAGAGCAGGATCAAGAAGCAGGTGGAATGTTGCGCTGAGCCACAGGCCACCTGAGGTGCCGTCAGAGCATCTTGGTGGGGAGTTAGGAAATGGGCAGTTGGAGCCGATGGCTGGGATTCGGTCTGTGAATTACCTGCATCCAGGTGAGAATTGTCACCTTGATATTGAAATAGACTGCCATCAGAGAGGGAGTCGTCAGGAGAGCAGGAGGGCACACCTGAAGGGGGGTTTAAAGGAAGGATGTGTTCAGCAGTAGCAGAAGGTGGGAACAGGTTGGAGTTATTGTTGCATAGTACCCGGCACACAGTAGGCACTCAAATATTTGTGAGAAGAATGAAAGAATACACCAGGGGTAAGAAAACGATACATCCAGGACAAACCATATGAAAGAAATAGTGATAGAATCTGCCCATAGGGTTGTTAAGGGATTGTTGCTTTTTTTCCCTGGAACATGCTCTGCAGGCTCTTTCAACACTGACCATTAGGAAACTTTGCCCCCATCCTGGGGGGTGTGGGGTTTAAGGTGTGACTCTCCTGTAAAGGTTACAATTTAAAGCAAACTCGGGCATTTTCCATTCAATCTCAACTTCCAGAGATGGATAATACCACCGCACGGCTCACATAACTTCATTACAAATCACTTTTTTCCTTTCCCTGGTGGTTTCCCCCCTTTCCCCTTAGAAATAAAGAGGATTGCAGATTAGGGACTCCTTGGCAGTGTGACCTTACCTAGGGGTGGTCTCTAAATCCTTTTTAAAAAGGTTATTTAGAAAGACTCTACTTCCTGAGAATCTTACCCCAGACATTTCCTAATATATTATTTAAAAAAAATGCATTTCCTGGGGTGCCTGGGTGGCTCAGTCCCTTAAGTCTCCTATTCTTGATTTCAGTTCAGGCCATGATCTCAGGATCGTGAGATCGAGCCCTCCCCACCCCACCATGGGCTCTGGGCTCAGTACAGAGTCCGCTTCTCTCTCCTGCGCCACCCCCGCCCCCCGCGCTCGCTCTCTTTCTAAAATAAATAAATATTTTTAAAAAGTGCATTTCCAATTTCTCTTCTTTAGAGAAAAGTTTTTTTCCTTTAAATCATTTCGCTTTTAAAAATATTACTCTAAAAGGGAGAAGCAGGGGCCGAGGGCCAGTTTTTTGGGGGCATAGGCAGCGGGGCGGTGCGGTGGCGGGGAGTGGGGAGTCCCGGGCCTGGCTTTGTTTACCGAGAAAGCCAGAGGCCAGAGTCCAGAGAGGGGGCGGGGAGAGAGCGGCCCCTCGCCCGCCCAGCTCTCCAGGCCGCCTGCTCTTTGAGCGCGGGCTGCTCGGCGCCGGCATAGCCGGCGGGCCTGGAGTTGGGGGGACCCGGCGGACGGCATGCTGCGGCGGATCGCGTCCCGGTGCGCCCGGGGCCTGGGGGCCGGCGGGGTTGCACATCCTGCCGTGGGGCTCTGCCACCCCGGCCGCAGCTCCAGCAGCCGGTCCTCCGATGCGCCCCGGAACCAGCCCCCCAGCTCCGAGTTCGTGGCGCGGCCGGTGGGCGTCTGCTCCATGATGCGGCTGCCGGTGCAGGCCTCCCCCGAGGGGCTGGACGCCGCCTTCGTCGGGGTGCCGCTGGACATTGGGACCTCCCACCGGCCCGGGGCGAGGTAAGGTCCGAAGGATTCGGGGACACGTGGGTGGACCGCCCGATGGCCACTGGACGCGAAAGACAAAGGGACGGGCGCCTCCGCTCACCCAGGGTGGGGTTGGAAGTGCTGGCTCCAGAATGCTCCCAATCCTTTGAAAGACCGTTGATTTCCCTCCTCCCTCATCAAGCAATGGTGAGGGCTGGACATGTGGGTCATCTATTGGTGACAGGAGCCTTCTCCACACGCTGATTCCTGAGCCTTGCTGGGATGGTGGCTGTGGGGTTTATGGGGGCAGGGGACGTTATTTCCGAGAACAGAGGAAACTGGATGCACCTTCCCCAAACCTCTAGATGTCACCTGATCAAGAATTGCTCAAATACTCCTGTCAAATAAATAAAATCTTTAAAAAACAAAACAAAAAGAATTGCTCAAACACAAGATGCTTTTTCAAAAAATACATTTTATTATTTTTAAGTAATCTCTACACCGAATGTGTGACTGGAATTTACAAACCCGACATCAAGAGTCCCACCCTCTACCTCTACCAACTGAGCCAGCCAGGGACCCCAAGGCATTTTTTACTAAGATCAAGGCAGCTGAAGTAATTTCCTAATTAGTGAGCATCAGCTATTTCTGATTCAGCTCAGCCACTTTACGTCTAATAATCTGAAGTATGGATGCCACCATTTGTAAAATGTCTCCTGAATGCAAGGCGCTTTGCATAGATGACCTCACTCAATTCCTCCAACAACACAGTAAGGTAAATATCATTATTTTACAGGTTAGGAAATTGAGGCTCATGGAGATTAAGAAATTATCTAATGTCATTTAGTAAATTGGTGATGGGTAGTCTCCTAAATCCATGCCTTTAATCTCTTCAAGTATATAGCCTGGATCAGTGGTTCTCAACCAGGGGTGATTTTGCCCCCAGGGGACATTTGGTGGCGTCTGGAGACCTTTCTGGTTATCCCAACTTGCCACTGGCATCTAGTGGGTTATAGATTAGGGGAAACATTCTACAAGGCACCGGATGGCCCCCCACATCAAAGATTCCTCCAGCCCCAAATGTCAGCAGTGCAGAGGCTGAGAAATCCTGGCCTAAGTAGGACCTCTGACCCTTTTGGGATGGTTCACAGGATGATTCTTCCTTCTCCAGATTTGGACCTCGGCGGATCCGGGAAGAATCAGTGATGCTTCGGACAGCCAACCCTAGCACGGGGGCCCTCCCCTTCCAGTCCCTCATGGTTGCAGACCTAGGCGATGTGAACGTCAATCTTTACAACCTTCTGGACAGCTGCCGTCTAATTCGAGAGGCCTATCAGAAAATTGTAGCAGCTGGTTGTATTCCCCTGACCTTGGGTAATGGTGTCTGTGGGGACAAGTGCAGCTCTGCACTGAGCGTTCATTTATGGTGGGCTTGGGTGTAGCTGCTCCTTCGGGGCAAGCCACCGGGAATATGGAGACAGTCGGAAAGAGAATGTTTTAAATTCATTTGTTTTAACCCCTGGGGAGAGGCTGTTTACATTTTTGGACTGGTATGACTGGCAGGGATGGACCAGGGTGAGGCAAGTGAAGCATTCACTTTGGGGGGGTTGCCAAAAAGTCAACTATAAATATGATCGACTTTTCCCTTTTGCCTCAGGCCCCAATATCGTTCGGAATAGCACTATTACTGCTCCCTTTTTTTTTTCTTTTAAGATTTTATTTATTTATTTGACAGAGAGAGACACAGCGAGAGAGGGAACACAAGCAGGGGGAGTGGGAGAGGGAGAAGCAGGCTTCCCGCCGAGCAGGGAGCCCGATGCGGGGCTCGATCCCAGGACCTTGGGACCATGACCTGAGCCGAAGGCAGACGCCTAACGACTGAGCCACCCAGGCGCCCCTGATCCTGTCTTTTTAAAAAAATTTATCGTGGAGGGGTGCCTGGGTGGCTCAGTCGGTTGGGCGTCTGACTCTTGGTTTCCCTCAGGTCATGATCTCAGGGTCCTGGGATTGAGCCCCGCGTCTGGCTCTGGGCTCAGCTTGGAGTCTGCTTGTCCCTCTTCCTCTGCTCCCCCACACCCACTTGTATTCTCTCTCTCAAATAAATCTAAAAACAAAAATTCATCGTGGATTTTTTTTGCATTGACCTTGATTTTTAAAAGTATTACATCAAAATAGTATTTATCTTAATGACTGAGTTTTTTGGTGTCCCTTAAATTTTGCATCCCAGCAAGTGCCTCTACCCACCTCACCTTTGTCCTACCCCTTGATTCCAGGCCTGGGGAAGGCTCACAACAGGAGCTCAGCTGTGACTTTTTAACTATTTCAAGGACATACTTTTCTTTTTTCTTTTTCTCTTTTCTTTTCTCTTTCTTTCTTTTCAGGAAATGCTTTTCTTTTTCTCTTTTCTTTCTTTTCAAGAAATGCTTTTCTTTTTTCTTTTTCTCTTATCTTTCTTTTTTTTTTTCAGGCGATGCTTTTCTTTTTTCTTTTTCTCTTTTCTTTTTAGAGAGAGCACGAGTGTGATAGAGCGCACGTGCCCGAGAGCGGGGTGGGGGAGGGGCGGGGGGAGAGAGAGAGAGAGAGAGAATCTTCAGCTGGCTCTATACACAGCAGGAAGCCCGCTCGGGGCTGATCTCACGACCTGAGCCGAAATCAAGAGCTGGAAACTGAACCATCTGAGCCACCCAGGCGCCTCTCAGGGACATACTTTTAATGACGTTATTTGAGAGAGAGCTACAAAGGGGTATTTCCTCCTCATCAGGGTCTCTATTAGTCTACAGGGCGGCTTTCCCCTTGTCTTGCCTGATCTCTCCCCCACCCTTACATTTCTTTCTCTTCCAGTTCACAAATAGTTAAAATGACACGGGCCTTTTTCTAAACATCCAAATGTATTTTTGCCAAAGGAGAGGGCCGAGCCTGCAGAACACTGTGGCGCGGAGTGTGGTTTCTGGATCTGGATTGAAAATCTCAGATTGACCTCTCACTAGCTATTTATGCTTCATTTCCTCGCTTGTAAAATGGGAATAACACTACCAGCGTCTTCCTCATTGTTTTGTGTGAGGGGCGTATAATGAAAGTGCACATAACGTGTCTGGCATCGTGACTTACGTATTTTAAGCTTCAATAAATGTTAGCTGTTGTTGTTGGTAATAGTGGCCCATAGTAATACTTTTCTAGGCCCGAGCTGTCCTGTACAGTAGCCACTAGCCACCTATGGTTATTAAAATGACAATCACAATGAGATAAAATAAAAAATGCAGTTCCTCCACGGCCTGAGCTGTATTCCTCTAGGCACACGTGGTTAGTGACCCCCATGCCGGCCAGTGCAGATAGAGAACATGCCCATCACTGCAGAGAGTTCTATTGGACAGACCTGTTCCTGGCATTTGACCTGTAAGCTTTGTTTCCTCTTTTATTATCTTTTAAAGATTTTATTTATTTATTTATTTGACACAGAGAGAGAGAGAGACAGCGAGAGAGGGAACACAAGCAGGGGGAGTGGGAGAGGGAGAAGCAGGCTTCCCGCTGAGCAGGGAGCCCGATGCGGGGCTCGATCCCGGGACCGTGGGACTATGACCTGAGCCGATGGCAGACGCTTAACGACTGAGCCACCCAGGCGCCCTTGTTTCCTCTTTTAAAGAACAATGTAATCCCAAACATCCAGGGGCTGTTTTCCCACCACTGAACAAGATCTCATGTTAGCTGAGGTTATAGCTCTTTGGTCTCAACAAAAGGGCGGCACAATTGGGTAGATTGAAGATTGCTCTATAATACATGGCCCTCTCTTACCCGCATTCCACATATTTTCTTCTTCCTCTTTGCAGGTGGAGATCACACAATCACATATCCAATCTTACAAGCGATGGCAAAAAAGTACGTCCCAAGCGTCTGGACGCGCACAAGGGCTTCAAAATTCAGGAGCTAGGGCGTGAGTTGTTTGCCGCTAGGTGGTATCAAGTGACCTCTGCTGGCTCAGGTTATTTGGGGTGATAGGAAATTCCCCACTGGGTTGCTTCTGTGGATCAAAATGAAGGTCGAGCTCCCGGTGTCTCTGTCAGTCACCAGCTGGGAACCAAGACAATTTATTATTAACACTTGTGGCTACCCTTGCTTGCCCTGGATCTGCTCTGGTATGCGCGCTCAGCATCTGTCTCTGTTTTTGGAAGATGGGCCCCTCGTGAAATACACAACCCCAGCTAACAGCAGTTTCTGTTTGGCTTCAAAGGCCAAATACACAGCAGTGTTGCTTGCTGAGGAGAGGTCCTGTTTCTTCCTGAAAGGGCCCCTTCCCCAGAGAATGAGAAAATGGCTTTTCCAGTCGTGGAAGCCTACCAGGGATTAACTAACTTTGGTTAATTAGTTTGAAAAAGAGGCAGAAGAGCCAAGGAGGTGGCAGCTCCAGGATTCATATATAGGAAGGACATATGGGTAGCATCCTCGGTGGTGGTGGGTGGCTATAAGTCTTTTCTGGAAGCTGTGCTTGCCTAGCGTTGATTTTTTTTTTTTTTTAAGATTTTTTATTTATTTGAGAGAGAGAGAATGAGAGAGAGCATGAGAGGGAGGAGGATCAGAGGGAGAAGCAGACTCTCCGCTGAGCAGGGAGCCCGATGTGGGACTCGATCCCGGGACTCCAGGATCATGACCTGAGCCGAAGGCAGTCGCTTAACCAACTGAGCCACCCGGGCGCCCCAGCCTAGTGTTGATTTAGATTGTATGTTGCTTTCGGGTGGCTGGCGGGGTTGTTGGAGATTATGGAGAGAGAGCTGTCTGTCTTCTGCCGGACTTCTCTGGGTTGATTATTCTGAGCAGCTAAGTGATTTGAAGACAGAAACCAGTTGCAAGGCTGGTCACTGAGGCCGGGTCTCCCGTGGCTGTGAATGGTCAAGTTTGGAAGTCCGGGTAGCCTGGAGGGTGGCGGTGCTCAGGCCCCGGGAGGAGGCCTGGGCTCTGAGCTGCCTGTTGTCATCAGGCATGGCCCCGTGGGGCTGCTGCATGTGGACGCTCACATGGACACGGCTGACAAGGCCCTTGGAGAGAAGCTCTATCACGGGACGCCCTTCCGCCGCTGCGTGGATGAGGGTCTCCTGGACTGTAAGCGCGTGGTGCAGATCGGCATCCGGGGCTCCGCCATGACCTTGGATCCCTACAGATACAGCCGGAGCCAGGTGACAAGCCAAACTACGCCCCTTCCTCTGCCCCGCAGCCTGCAAAGTGCATTTCTCTCTGGTGCCCATTCGGTGGTGGCTGCGGATTCCACGGGGGCTTTAATAACCAAATTCAGAAAAACGGGACGGAAAGCCGAGTTTGCCCCAAGAGGGTCGTGTGGAGCAGAGAGGAGACAGGATGTGCGTTCATGAGGCGAAGGGGGCCTCTCATCGCTGGGGTGGGGAGAGAGGCCGAAACACACCCGCCTCTGCGCTGTCGCTGGCTTCCGAAAGAGCTGAGGACGTCCGAACCCAAGGCCAGCGGCCATCTTTTTAGTTCTTGTCCTCACCCCCCATCGGGCAGAGTGGCTCCCAGGGAAACACGGATGACAGGATCCCAACAGGAAAGACCCAAGTCCCCTGCTTTTAGAGCGTGCAAGGGCCAGTCTTCTGGACAGAGCCGTTCAGGAGGTGCTGAGTTTCTCGCTCTTGCTCTAGCCCAGCTTCTCTCTGATCCCATCCCCCCCAGGTCAGCTTTGACTTACTCCCTGCTTCTTCACCTGCCGTCGCTCCTCCCTTCCTCACCAGTAAAAGGGGGAGGACAGTTCCCTCTTCGTGAAGATTGGGGGTCTGATGTCATGTGTACAGGAGCACTTAGCGTGGGGTTGGCACATAAGAAATGCCCAGTAAATGGCGCCATGTAGAAGCCTCGACACCCCACTCTTTACTTCCCACGTCCTCAGGGCTTCCGGGTGGTTCCGGCTGAAGACTGCTGGATGAAGTCCCTGGTTCCTCTGATGGGGGAGGTGAGGCAGCAGATGGGCGCCAAACCCATTTATATCAGCTTTGACATTGACGGCTTGGATCCTGCCTATGCCCCAGGGACAGGCACACCTGAAACCGCCGGTCTCACCCCTAGTCAGGTAAGGAGGTTCCACCAGGGACAATGCCTGGGGGTGAGGATTCTCAACTCCCCACTTTCCTGGGACTTGTGGTGAGTCTTCAGAATCAGGACAGGATTTTAAAAAGTGGAGGAGTTAGGCCTTTATCTGTTCTCAGGGCTGACTGCAGGTTGGACACTCTTGTTGAGTGAGTAGACTGACTTTGGCAAGGGCCCTCATGTCCTCTCTGGGATATAATAGTCTATTATTTGAGCTTTCTGCCTCTGATCCACCTATAGTTGGTTCATGGGGACATATGCCAGTATCCCCTCTTAAAAACACCAAGCTTGGGGCGCCTGGGTGGCTCAGTTGGTTAAGCAACTGCCTTCGGCTCAGGTCATGATCCTGGAGTCTCCGGATCGAGTCCCGCATCGGGCTCCCTGCTCGGCGGGGAGTCCGCTTCTCCCTCTGACCCTCCCCCCTCTCATGCTCTCTCTCTCTCTATCTCATTCTGTCAAGTAAATAAATAAAATCTTCAAAAAAAAAAACCAAAAAACACCAAGCTTATCTTTCTGGGGTTACACTTAAAAAGTGCTCATTGGTGGGATTAACCACCTACCATGGAAGTTCAAGAGTTTTAGAAACACCCAAACAAAGCTCTCTGAAGGTGGGCTGAGTGTAAACGCAGGAGGCAGAATCGCAGTGTGGTTATAATTAGAAGGTGAGCTCCACGAGGTTAGGGCTGTTATTTCATGGACTACCCTGTCCTTGGAGTCTAGAATGGTGCCTGACAGAGAGAGTAGGCACTCATAGATATCTGTGTGAATGAGTGAAGACCACTCACACCTGATCCGTTACCTTACCTCCTCTAAGAAAGGGGCCTGTGAGCAACTACCTCTCAAAGCCATTCTCTATCAGTTCCCCTCAGAGAGATTTGTAAAACACAATCCTCCTTCCTCAGCTTATCATTCTGGGCTTTTCACTGGCCGAATGGAAACTCTTTTAGACAAAGTGACCCCTTCCTCCCATCCGCCTCACTCATCCTGTCTTCTGGCCACATCTAACTACTGGTATTTCTTTCCATCCTAGTGTGTTTTTGTCTGGGCTGCCCTATCCTTGGTTAATTCCTTGGGCTAAGTGTTCCTGCTGCCTGGGGAGGGCTTCCCCCAGCTTTTCGGACTGTTTCGTATTATACTTTTCTGCGCTTGCTTTTTTTTTTTTTTTAAGATTTTATTTTTTAAAGTAATCTCTACACCTACTATGGGGCTTGAACTTACAACCCCGAGGTCAAGAGTTGCACGCTCTACCGACTGAGCCAGCCAGGCGCCCCTACGCTTGCTTTTCCTGAAGCCTTTAATGTACGAATGATTGGAATGATTGGCCTGCTTGTGTGTATTCCATCACACCACGGACCCTTCGGGAGCAGGGGCTGTGCTTTGGCCATTTGTGTCTCCATGATGCCCACCAGGGTGCCTGGCCGTCAGTAAATGTTTTTTGAGGGAAAGCGACAGTTCCGAGTCAAAGGGTGGGCATGTGCTAGGAGAGATGCACTGGGACCTCTGTGGTTGCTTTTCATTGTGAGTGGTTACTGCTGTGGACAACTCGGGCTTGGTCTTGGACAGGCGCTGGAAATCATCCGGGGTTGTCAAGGCCTGAATGTGGTGGGTTGTGATCTTGTGGAAGTTTCGCCGCCCTACGATCCTTTTGGTGAGTAAGCGAGAATACCATGATCTGTAGGCAGCTGCTGGTTTAAATTATATTAATCTACTTAATAAGTAGAAGATGGATGGATCCTTTTGTATAACTTGGGAACCTGCTGAGTATGTTCTGCAGCGAAGAAAATAAACCTATTACTGCACACCTTACAAACACGAGCTAATTAACAAAACCCCTGGGAGGTGGCTATTACTGGTTTGCTTGCCCGACAGCAGAAGAGAAAGAAACCAGCCTATGGTTTATTTAATAGGGTGGCGTAGTTCTGTCCTTCTTTGATACTTCATTGAAAAGTGAATTACTGCATAAGTAATATTTATTAATATTAAAAAAGTGGGTGGTTAGCTGGTTTTAGGAGAGATATTCAAAGCAGATGCCATCCCAATAATTTCAACTTAAGAGAAGCTTCCAGACTTACGCCTATTAGTCTCAGAGGGTAGGTGATAAATACAATAGACACCATTATTAAAGGTTTTCCTTTGGGGGGAATCTGTTCTCAGAGTAAACAACGAACTGTCTGAATTTCAGAATGCTCTTTCTGAATGTTTGTTGGAGCGGAGTACCAGGGAAAGCGTGTCCACAGGGTGGCTGGGCAGCCCAGAGAAGAGCATGGAAGGGAGAATTTGGAAAGGCAGCCCGAAGGGAAGAGGGCGGAGTACCGAGAGGCTTGGCCTTGGGGGCAGCCTGCATGGTGTTCACCTTCGGTTTTGTCTCTCTGTAGGAAACACGGCCCTTCTGGCGGCTAACTTGCTGTTTGAGATGCTGTGTGCTCTCCCCAAAGTGATGGTTGTCTGAACCTTGTGCTCTCCCCAAAGTGATGGTCGTCTGAACCTTGTGCTCTTCAAGATACAACAGATTGTGCGGATGACAATTCTCAAGAATTTATGCGCAAGCAGTCTGAGTACTCAAAGAGTTTATGCCGGTAAAACTTTCCGCTAAACAGTGTCCCCGGGGGCTATAAACCCAGGGCATTCAGTAGAACTCTAATCCAACAGCTAATATTTCTATGGAGTTTGAATGAACTAAAAACAGAGAAGCACTTGTGCTGTTTTGATGAAAGATGCTGGAGGATTAAGGGGAAAAGGGAGCCAAGGAGCATTTGGTTCAAGATGATCTAAAAATTGGAGAAGTGAAATAAAAAAGCCCTAGGACATAATCCTGTATAAACATCCTGTATTTCTCTAGTTTCTTCCTTCACACTGTGGCTTCTCCTGAGGAACTCAGGGCTGCGTCTGGGTTTTAGGACCACTGTGAACCTAAACAAAAAGTTTGAATGAAAGTAACATGCAGATCCCGATAAAGAAACTTCCCACTCAAAAGCCCAGGAGGGTGCACAGAATGTCTTTTCAACCAGACATCAGGTGGCCTCCAAAGAGCCCTTGGTGACCCTTCCTTAACCCACTTCCTCCCTTTCGCATTATCTACTCTTGGAGCTGATGCACCCTCCATGACAGCAACTCCTGAAATCTGCAGGGAAGATTCAGGCATGGGTTGAGTTACATGCAAATTCAGTTTTGTCGCTAACGTGTCCACGGGCAAATCATCATCTCCCAATGCAAGAGCGACGCATAATCATCACACATTAAAATAGTTTATTTCTGTTTCCAGTCTGTAATATTCTCAAAACAAAAATAACATCAGCTTCAGTGCCTGTTCACAATACAAAACAAAAACAACATAAAAAAGACACCATTTGCCAAATAAGTTATTTGTTCCTAAGAGTATCAAAAGTGCAAAATATTCACCTTTTCAGATCGGTCTCTAAAGTTCCATCGTCCTCCTTGACAAACGGAACGGACAGGTTTAGCAGTTGCCACACCGCATTTGTGTTCAAGGGACAAGGTCAGGCATTTGGATGTGAGCGATATTTCATCTGCAAGGATATTTTGCATCAGCTTTTAAAGAATTTTACTTAGGAAAAAAGTTGGAGTGTTTGCTTCTAATCTCTTTTTCCCCAAACAAAGCAAATCACTTAAAAAAAAAAACACACATTCAGATTTCATTTCTTTTTAAATCAGGAAAACGTTGATGTACTGAGGAGGAAATCAACCTATTAATTTGAAAAGTATGACCAAATTTTCATGGTCAGTAAGTGATGGCAGAGAGAGAGAGACCGTGGTGCCTGATAGAAGTCAGGGCAGTCTTGCTCATTGAAACGCTGCTGACTCAGAGCTGACAATCTCTTAGACAAATTATGCCACCAGCACCTGGATGATAAAAAAATATTTGTAAGTAGGTGCGTGTTCTACAAAGACTTGTTTTAGGCCAGTTTTCATCCCCAGCTGCTGAACATGATGTACCAGAAAAGCCTACTTCTAAAAACAAAACAATGTTGTCAGTCTCAAGATATTCAAAGACCAAGAAATTAACTTAAAACCAAAATCAGCTCTGTGTGATTTCACACAAGAGAAGGAGAAATGGTGGCATTGGCTGAGCATGACAAAGGCTCATACATTTGACACAAAAATAAACAAATTCATGCAAACATTCAGGAGGAAAGGCTTGGGTGGTCAAGGGCAAAGTTCAGTTTAAAGTAGAACCTTCCTAGCGTCCTCTTGGGGGACGTACTTTCCAGCCCCAAACAGACCTGTGAAATAATTTCTGCACTGAAAAATTCACCAGGAATGTTTTTAATCCTATCGACTCTCATTTTCCTTTCTTCGTACAAATGGAGGGTGCAGCTGTCCGTGTAAAGGTGCTTTTCATTTTAATGAGAAACATTTTTAAAGTGAACAAATCTGGGGGAGATTTTGGTTTTCAGAAATTAAGCTCAGGGATCCATCCCATTAGTACCAGAAATTAAAAACCGACCACTGAACCAGAACACTACTCACATCAGCAACTTGGCCAGAAAAGACCTAGAAAATAATTTTGAGGCTGGTGTATCAAGGAACCAAATGAATCCCTTAATCACACCTGCCTGGGCCAGGTGCCAGGAGACAGCAATCAGAGTAAGCATCCAATTTTTAGAGGATCATGTGGGGAGGAAAAAAAAAAGCCTGGCAGTGATTTTTTTTCTTTTAAATAAAGCTATAGACTCCATGGAAATGATAGGAATTCCTGGGCTTAAGTAATTTATTACTTGCCCCTGTAGCTCAATGTTTAAATTGTTCAGGATCCAAATGGCTTTGTTTAGAGCAATGATGATTAAAGAAATACTAAGTAAATGTCCCATCACTGATTCTGACACTTGGCTTTACAAAAGGGCAATGTGTTTTGTCATCTGAACCGACCACTCTTTGAGGTTGTTCAAACTCCCCTGGTAGTTTTGCGCCCCCCACCCGCCCCAAAAAAGGCAAACTCTCTGACTGGTGGGTGTGATCCACTGCACACTGGAAGCCGGGGTGCTGATGGTAAGTCGGACCCTGTTACTGGTGAAGCAGTTGTGAGTTAGGAGTGAAAGCAATTGAGCTATCATAATATAGGCCAGAAGCTCAAAGTAAGCCTTTTGCCAAACAGGAGTCTAGAACAAGTCTTGGCTCACTTGTCACAAAAGAGGGCTCAAAGTTACAGTACTTCTGGGGGGGTGATAACAGTGTTCAAAATACAATTGTTGAGAAATTTTTAAGTTCCTTGATACAAAGACACATCTGGTATTTTACTAAAGAGACACCACCGGAGTGAAGAAGTTCCTCGAGCCTGACGCCTGTCAGGCAGGCGTCTTCAGTTTAACATCTACTGGTTTATAGCAGCTTATCTCTACGTCCAGAGAACAAGATTACAAATTATGGCTCCTAAGATTCATACCCTAAAATTGACAGAGGCAGAAAGGTATGTGAAAACAGACACGTAAATGGCTCAAAGTCATTACAGTACTTCTTGCCGTGCAGATCCTTCCCTGGCTACGCTTAGCGGACTGGGGGAGATGGCTGATGGGACGCCCCAAGGGGTCACGTACATCACTGCCCAGCGCCCCCCTTCAAACCAAACTCACATGCAGGACCCCCACTTATCCCTGCCTTGTAAAACTGTGGCTGACCAACTGCTGCAGGGGGATACCCCCCAAATACACTTTTAGCCACTGACTACCGGAAAAAACTATCAAACGTGAGATTGCTTGGAACCAGGCCTCTTTCAGGACGCAGGGCCTAGAAGCTGCTGTGGGCTGTCGTCCCACTGATGCAGCATGCACTGGGGGTGGAAGCACGGTGGGGGCGGAGGCCCGACCAGCACTCCAGGACCTGCCGCTGGCCGCAGCCCTGCGCCTCTCCCACAGCACGAGACAGGACGGGGCTGGGCAGAAGGAGCACTGGGCAGGGATGACGAAGGAAGAGGGGGGAGCAGCCTCCTTTAGATAGTGCGGCATTCAAACGAGGGGGGAAAAAACCCAAAGCAAAATATTTTGATCTAAGGAATTCAACTTGAGGTGTTTTTCACTCCTAGGTTAGGACAGGACGAAGGAAAGATTCTTCTAGCCATTGTTCTGGAAGAGTAATCTAGAATCTATTCTCTGTCCACGGTGGTAGGTAGAGTCCTGAAAAGACCTGTTCCCAGGGGCCTATTAAAAAGCCTGAAGAGTTAAAGTCTCTCTTGAGCTCCCTCAGTCTAATTCAGGCCACGACGGGATATAAAACCTCTGTAAGGAGCCTTCGAGCAGGCGCTCCATCCATAAGGACAACTTGCTCAATTTCCCTTTGATGGGCCTGGGTCCAAGGCCACAGGAAGATTTCCCTCGAGTCTCGCCCAGATGGAGGGAAGAGTCAAGATCACCGCAGGACCCCACGGCCGCCTCCTCTTCCACCGCTTTCTGGGGCTTGAAGAGGCAGAAGTACTTCTTGTGACCGTTCAGGGCCAGCACGTAACCTGTGTAGTCACGCTCCATGAAATGCTTGTCGTATTGGTTTGGGATCGGGGCTGCATCCTGAGCAAATTCTAGCAAGTATTCCAGCCATTCTCTGTGTTTATCTAGACTCAGGAAGGAGAAGTGTAGGCAGCTGCTCCTGGTGAGAGGACACAGTGAAGATTTAGGGAACTGCCCGACACACTGAATTGCAGGGAACGCAAAGACCTCCGTCAGATCGCATGTAATAGGAGGTGGCTTTGTGTTGGATGGGGCCCAAATATGGAAAGAATGGAGGATTCCTGGTGGACGTCAGGGCTTCTGCAACAGCTCTAACAGTCCGCTGGCCCATCTTCCCCCCGCCCCGGCCCCTTGCCGGGTGCCCCTTAAGCACTCTCAGTGTCTGGCTTCAGGAAAACACATGACAGCTAGAGGACAGAGCTCCCCAAAAGGCTCAGGGGAGAAGGCCGAGTGAGGTCACACTCTTCTGTTCAGAAGCATCGGGACATGAAGTTGAGGACAGAAAGGTGCCCTCATGACGGCTTAGATCTCTGGGCTCGAAAGGTCACAGCCAACATCTGGCTGCACGCATAAATAAAGCCCCTCACAGTCAGAGAGGAAAGGGTGAAATTCTGCCCTGGTCCTCTCCTCTCCCCCGCTCCCACGTGAGCTTACCCAGTGAACGTGTACACCTCCAAGGCGAATTTCTGCAGTAGGCTGGCCTTGGTGGAGCCTGACAAGATGAGGACCACGTTCATGTGGCCCGGCCTCAGGCGGACCAGGTTACTGGTGTACGTTACATCTGTGAGCTCAGTCACCTCCACAAAGCCTTTTTTAGGAAGCTTGCTGTGGAGAAATAGTGAGGAATTAAGATGTTATCAGGCAGGAGAATGCCATTACTTTGAAAAGACACAAGAGGAAGAAAATGCTGCGTTCCAACCCGACTAGGTATGTTATTTAATATTCTGGAGCCTGACACATTGGCAGGACAGGGATGGTCCCCACTTGGTGGCCCCAGGCCCTACAAAGGGCCCTGCAGACGCTGCCGTTCACAGTTGGTGTAGAATCGGTGTAAGCGTGAAGGCGGCCCACACAGTCACGGTGACGCGCCCTTCTCTGCCGCTGGCTCGTCTAGCAACTCTGACGTGCTTTGCTTCCTGTCCGCATTATTACATTTGAGACCGAGAGCCTGAAGCTACCGAGTAGAATATAAGTAGGTCCTGTGTCTAAAGGCCTACGGGGTTTCAGTAAACACTAACCAGCAACTGACTTTTCCCTCACTCCTCCTCACACGCAAGTTGGTGACCCCAGAGTGCTTATATAGACTAGGTCCTCGAACACCGCGCTCTCAGACCACGGGGCCTGTGGCTCTCCTGCCCGGGGGTGGGGGTCGGGTGGGTTTGGTGTCTTGTTAGAGAAACCTGCTGTTTTCTTTGGTGAAGGTTGGCTCAGTCTTCCCGGCCTTCTCATGAGCTTCCTCTTTATCTGGAGGGTTGGACTCTCGCTCATCGTTTGAGTCGCTAAAGTAAGAAACAAAGAGCTTTAAGAAAAGAAACAGTACCACAACCCCAAGGTTTGGGGCTCACCCTTGAGAACTCACGCTGAGAAGCCACGGAGCGTTTACCTGAAAGCCTGAACGATGACGGTGCCGAAGAGGATGAAGAGGGCAGAGAAGACCAGGGACAGAAGGGGCATCATTTCCCGCCTGAAACGAAGTTAACAAACTCTGGTCGGCTCTAGATGGGTTGCTGAGATTATGTCCGTTAATGATACTGGATTTCTTTTCCTTGGCTCAGACAAAACCAAAAGAACCCCAAACCAAAAGGCTTTCCATAGCAATAAACACATTCTACTTTCATACAAATAAAGGTTTTTTGGTTTTTTTTTTTTTTGAGGGTGAGGGTGGTGGTGAGGAAAGCAGAGATTTTCCCTCACCGTTTTAATTCAGGTTGCTTATTCTACGAGTTTGATTATTCTGTCTCCATAGAATAGGCTGTGCTTAATAAGTTCTGCGGAAGGCAATAACAGGATTTATGCTGTCAATGTGGAGGAACATTCTGACATCGAGGGTGGTGACTAGAAAGTCTGTGGAATTATTTCCTTTATTTTGATTTTTTTTTTTTTTTCTGGCTAGAATAATTCAGACGTGGCCCAGAGGGCGAAGAAGGAAGACGACAGTGACCTTGCACAACGTCTTCTAAGACTGGTGCTCCAACATTTTGTTCACCCACAAACACTCCTCAAAGGCCTGTCAGTTTTCAGGAGCTGTGCTGGGTGCCAGGAATCACAAACACGAATGAGATGTGGTTCTACCCTTCAGGAGCTCACAGTATTTTTGGGGGTGGGAGCGGGAGGGCCCTCCCTTCACTGCTTAACTCACTGACCGGCTTGTACGGCTCTACACTGGCCTCCACGTGTGTCGGGCCCCGGGCTGGGTGCCAGGGGTGCCCTGATGAAGAGGACAGGCCCAGTGGTTAAGGGGCAATCAGCAGATATGTAAAAAGTGAAGTTACTGAAAGAACAAGGCGGGGGGGGCCGCCTGGGTGGCTCAGTCGGTTAAGCGTCTGCCTTCGGCTCAGCTCACAATCCCAGAGTCCTGGGATCGAGCCCCACATCAGGCTGCCTGCTCAGGGGGGAGCCTGCTTCTCCCTCTCCCTCTGCTTCCAACATCACCCCCCGCCCCGCCCCCCGGCTGCTCAAGCTCTCTCTCTCTCAGATAAATAAAATCTTTAAAAAAAAGAAAAAGAAAGACAAAGGGAACAGTTGTTGAAGATGTGTAAACATTCTTCCACTTGCCGGTATTGAGTATAAGCTGAAATCAAAGAAAGATTCTTTTCAAGAGAAAAAAGTGGTTCTACTACCAATGGAGAAAAAGAAATTCACTGTAGCAATACTCCTACCAGTTGTTGTGAAATACGCTGTCCCAGCAGTCTGAGATGTAGTCAGAAGCAGAGTAGAACCACCGGAGGAGAAAGATCTATGGAGGGAGAAAATGTGACGGTCAGGACTGAGCCCCCGAGCCTGGGTGGAGAAGTCCCTGCCCAGCACAGCATGCTGCCGGCCTCTGCTCGGGCTCTGGGGGCTCACCAGCCCTGCCTGGCACCCCCTCTCCCAGGCCACGTGCTTACAGGGGCAAGTTCATCTGTCAGGTCCGGGAGCACAGCTTCTGAGGACAGCAGAGCGGGGTCTCTGCGCAGCTGGTCAAGATAGCCCAAAAGCGTGAATTTATCGCTCTCACTCCCTGTCCAGGGAGCCTCCAGGGTTTTATACACCACCCTTCCTCCCGTGGTGCGCCTTTCCAAGATAGATACCTGGGGGAAGAGAAGAAACCATTAGAAGTCTTCAAGTTTGTTTGTTTTTTTTTCAGGGAGGATGGAAAAATGATCCAGTGAAGTCAGCAGTAAGCTCAAACATGAATATGGATGGGTATAAAATACGTGCAAAAGATTTTAGTTTCTTCTGACAAAGGAAACCATGTTTATGGTGACTTTCCAAAGCTTCTGCTAAAAGTTAAAGCTCTTTCTTCTGAGCAGACTTTTTCCTATAACCTCTGACTTAATATTATACTAAGGATCTTAAGTTTTTTAGAGAGAGTTTCCATGATGACCAAAATGATGACAAAGACGGAAGAATTTAATGCTTCTGTAGAGTGATGACAAAGGAGGGGAAGGGAAGGGGAGAGCAATTAAAATGAAATGAAAGAGGCAGAAGTAAAAGAGGGAGATTTTACTGGTAGCCTAAGGAAGATTTTACAAACTAGGTACTCTCTAATTTTTTTTTTAAAGTAGGCTCCACACCCAGCGTGGAGCCCAATGCAGGGCTTGAATTCACGACCCTGAGATCAAGATTGAGCTGAGATCAAGAGTCGGACGCTTAACTGACTGAGCCACCCAGGCATCCCTTATGAACTAGGCACTCTAAAACTACACCCGCCATGGGGAAAGAAAATGGTGAGAAGAACCGATGCTCCTGAACCTTTACTCATAGGAAATATGCTTTCTGTGAAGGTCTAAGGCTGAAAATCTAGGAGGTGAAAGCACTAGGACAAAAGACTGTATTTCAAGAGTAGGCTTTCAAAACAGGCTCAGAGATTTCTGGATTTCCTGGGATCTGTATTCAAAACTCCCAAAGAAGGGAGAAACAGAGTTCAGGTGCCATGAGCATGTCAAGAGCTTGGAATAAGAAGAGAATTCATGACTCACCGCTGATTTTCCTCGAAACGGATCAATGTCTGATAGTAAGGTGCTGGCAAACTCCTGCTGTCGATCGCTGTAGACATGCACGAATCTCACCGTGTCCTGTGTGTTTGCCAGGGCGAAGGACAGGAAAGCCTCAAAGGGTTTACTCAGCTTGGCAGCCTCGGGGGTCAGTAAAACCACGCAGTACCTGCACATTGGCAGAAGAGGAGACTTTAGGATCCATCTCCGAGGCTGAGGCCACAACAAGCAGAGGGAAGAAGAGGCGCACGTGTTTTACAGAAGTGAACACAGTTCACTAATAGGAGCTGTACGTTAGAAGTCTCTTAACGTCTCTAACGTCATCAGGGACTTGCTTCTTTTCAACGGGTGAGATCTTCCCCAAACCAAACGTTACCACACTCAGGAATTTCTTTTAAGGCAATGGCCTCTGAATCCTTTCAGAAGCCAGCTATTCTGGTGCCTCCACCACAGGCAGGGCGGGTCAAATCCGTCTCGGGCCGTTAGATTGCACAGGGACACGTCACCTCTCGGAGGTGAGCAAAGACCCGAATGGGGTGTGCCGTACAGGGAAAGGGGTCAGGGGGTTCCAGGCAGAGAGAACCGCGAGCGCAAAGACCCCTGGATGGAGAGAAACTGGACCCAGCGCACAGTTCCGGGAAGATCACTGGCTGCTGTGTGGGGAAGGCACAAGAGGGGAACGGAGCGGAAGCTGCGTCTGGTTAGAAGGCGAGCCCGGGGGTCTCCAGAGCTGGTGGTGGTAAAAAAGGTGAGAAGTGTGTGGATCTGGGATAGTTTCTGAAGGCCATGCACACAACAATCCTTAGAGTCCACGATATTCTTCCCTATATCGAATTCAAGTCGTCTTCTCTCTTAGTCTTATAAAGGAATCAGAAAAACTGGAAACATAGGGAAGTTTTCTCACTTTAAACAATACTGTAGTTGTATTTTCAAATAAGATGACCAGTATGTTTTCCTCCCTTCCGTAGCTAGACACATTGCGCAATAGCCCTACATTTAAAGCCACTGACTCATTAATCTGAAAGGTGTCTAATAAATATTTCCCATGTATTTCCAGACTTTTAAAGATACTCTGTATGAATAAGTATGCTTCAGCCTTCCCATTCCCAGCTAATTCTCTAAACATTTCTTCAGTGTCCTACACTTCCCTAGGGTTAGCGTTTTCCCACCTCCCCACCCCAGGCCTCCAAAGGCTCGCCCTGCATGGGTCCCCTAGTAGGAGCGGTGACTTGCTCATATCCAGGCTTCTTTAAAATGACCCAGCCTCGGGATGCCTGGGTGGCTCAGGTGGTCAGGCGTCTGCCTTTGGCTCAGGTCATGATCACAGGGTCCTGGGATTGAGCCCCACATTGGGCTCCCTGCTCAGCGAGGAGCCTGCTTCTCCCTCTCCCTGCCGCTCCCCCTGCTTGTGCTCTTTCTCTCTCTGACAAATAAATAAAATCTAAATACATACATACATACATACATACATAAATAAAGTGACCCAGCCTCTCCCTGACAGCTGGCTAAAGTCTACTCATCCTTCTGGCCTCAGCTGAAGGGTTATGAATTAGGGAGATCTTCTCTGACCCCGGGCCAGGCTGACACCCTGGATTAATACACCCCACTACTAACATAAAGAATAAGTTCTGACGTCACAGGCCCATGTTTAATTGCCCGGTACAGAAATGCGACGTGGCCCCTCTCTTGCGGCGACAAGCAGAGGCAAAGCCTGGAGTCCTTACTTCCTCTGTCGGTGAGACCGCTTTACGGGGCAGAGCTCGTGGAAGAACTTCTGGCTGGTGAGCCTGGCTGCCAGTAGATACTTGTTTTGGGTGATGAAGTCGTCAATGACCTGTTTCTTCATACCTCGGGCCTGCAGAAAAACCAAGGAACAGTTGAGTTTTATGCCCTTTTCTCACTGCAAGTGGGCTTTACTTAAAGCTTAAAAAAACAATGTGGCTGACCCATGATACTGTAAGAGCGGTGTATGGTGACAGATGGTAGCCACACTCGTGGTGAGCACAGCATACAGAGAAGCCAAATCACTATCTTGTATACCTGAAACTAATGTCACACTGTATGTAAACTATACTCAAGGAAAAAAATTATTAAAAAAAAAAAAGAACAACTGGAAAAAAATACCTGGCTGACCCTGGCTAAAGTAATACAACAAATAAGACAGATCTGTTTGCGCAAATAAACATTGGTGATCTATTTGAACAGTGCAGGGCTGAAAGCAACGATGGAGCTATTTCATGTCAAAGGAAAATCAAGTGCCTTTTCCACTGAAGAAGTTTTGTATATGGTTACATGCTGGCAGATGTAAGTGAGAGCCTCCGGCAGTGGGGCACCTTTGCAAGCGCAAAGGCAGCGCACGCACAAAGGCGCCGCCTCGTTTGCGGACTCGAGAAGCGGCCGACGCGGCGAGGGAAGGCCGGTGCGGCGGCGGGGGGCGCGAAGGCGCGCCGGTGCCCAAGGAGGGTCGCCCGGACGGCCACCCCGGGGAGGCCCGGGCGGGGGGGAGGGGCCCGCGGCGCCTTTTATGTCTCCGCCTGCGCCCGCTCTTGGCCTGGCGCGGCTGCCATTTTGTCCATGCTGGCAGATTTAAAAAGCCGGTTTGGGGGCGCCTGGGTGGCTCAGTCGTTGGGCGTCTGCCTTCGGCTCAGGTCATGATCCCAGGGTCCTGGGATTGAGCCCTCCATCAGGCTCTCTGCTCCGCGGGAAGCCTGCTTCTTCCTCTCCCACTCCCCCTGCTTGTGTTCCCTCTCTCGCTCTGTCAAATAAATAAATAAAATCTTTAAAAAAATAAATAAAAAATAAAGTCATTTTTTAAAATAGATTCTATTTTTAAGTAGGCTCCACACCCAATGTGGGGCTCGAACTCACAACCCTGAGATCCAGAGTCACATGCTCTACCAACTCAGCCAGCCAGGTGTCCCTAAATGGTCATTTTGAATTCCAGGCAAACTGACTTCCATTTAAGATGGACAGTAGGGGCGCCTGGGTGGCTCAGTCGTTAAGCGTCTGCCTTCGGCTCAGGTCGTGATCCCAGGGTCCTGGGATGGAGTCTCACATCAGGCTCCCTGCTCCGCGGGAAGCCTGCTTCTCCCTCTCCCACTCCCCCTGCTTGTGTTCCCTCTCTCGCTATGTCTCTGTCAAATAAATAAAATCTTTAAAAAAGAAAAAATAAGATGGACAGCAAACGGAACAATTAAAAAAAAATAAACTCCATAGTTACTAAGTGTAAAAGGCAGACTACAAAACTGTATGATGGCCCCTTTATTATTAGTTTTTGTGCATTTTGGAGGACTGAAATTATATATACAATAGGTTGTCTGACCAAAATCTAGAAGTCCATGTAAAATGTAAACAAGAAAATCCCTACATGTTAAGGAACATACTTGAATCACCTGCTTATGTCAGAAGAGCCTATCAGATATAAAGAAAATACTCTGAATTTTTTTTAAAGATTTATTTATTTGTTAGAGAGAGAGATTGAGTGATTGGGAGGGGCAGAAAGGGAGGGAGAGAGAATCTCAAGCAGACTCCCCGCTGAGCATGGAGCCTGACTTGGGGCTCCATCCCACGACCCTGAGATCATGACCTGACCCCAAAACAAGACTAGGACACTTAACCCAACTGTACCACCCAGAATTTGAATGACTCATGAGAGTACTATTTATAAACCCTTGGGTACGGATAAAGCCATACTCGGAGGGTAATGTTACAATGAATAAAACAGAAAAGAAATTAATGACCTAGATGCCCATATCAAGTTAAAAAGAAACAGCAAAAAATTCGAAGGGGGAAAGAAATAATAAAAGATAAAAACAGAGATCCACGAAGCAAAACAAACATAGAAAAAGGAGAAGAAAGAATTAACAGAGCCAAAGTTGGCTCTCTGGGAGAGCTAATAAAATTGACAAAACCACTGGTAAAATCTGTCATGCAAACGAGAAAGCACAAGTAACCATTATCAAGGATGACAAGGAGGAATCACCACCTACGTGTAAAAGTTAAAAGAAAAATTTATTTAAATTTGAAAATTAAGATGAGATAGACAAATTTCTAGAAAACTATAGCAGTATCTGAAAAAATAGAAAGCTTAAATAGTTGTGTAACCGTTAAAGAAGGTGAACTGGTGGCAGTCAGAGATCTTTCCTTGAACACAAACTCAAGGCCCAGATGGCGTTACAGATGGTTTTGATGAAACTTTCAAGAGGACAATCCAATTTTACATAAAGTCTTCTTGAGAACAGAAAAAGGGACAATGCACCCACCTCACTTCATGATGCAAAGCCTCACATGGGCATCAGGAGGAAGAAAAGCCAGAAGTCAACCTCATTTCTGAACACAAATGCAAAAATCCTCAACAAAGTATTAGCAAATTGAATCCAGCAATGTGTTGAAAGCATAATACAAATCATGATCTTGTTGGACTTACCTGATGAACTCAAATTAGGTTTAACATTAGAAAATGAATTAATGTATTTAGCACATTTTAGAAGACAAAAAATTAAAGAAAAATCAGGACAATCTCAATGGCTGTGGAAAAATCCATTTGATAAAAACCAATACCATTCAGGTCAGCAATGAATAGAAGGGAACTTCCTTATCCTGTTGAGGGTGGCTATAAAAAGCCTTCTGCAAACATCATACTTACTGGGGACATGGAGATCAAGAACAAGGATGCCCTCATCACTACACTTCTTTTCTTTTTTAAGATTCTATTTATTTATTTATTTTAGGGGAAGAGAGAGTGAGCGAGAGAGGGAGCATGTGTATGCTCGCACACGTGAGCAGGAAGGGGAGCAGAGGGAGAGGGAGAGTCTCCAGCAGACTCCCAGCTGAGCGCAGAGCCTGACATGAGGCTCGTTGCCACGACCTGAGATCATGACCTGAGCCAAAATCAAGAGTCAGATGCTCAACTGACTGAGCCACCCAGGCGCCCCCTCCATCACTACATTTCTATCCCACGTCACACCAGAGGTCACAGTAAAGTACAAAAAAGAAATAAAACAGAAGCAAAACTGTCATTAATCTCGGATGATATGTTTGTGTATTTAGCAAACCCAAAAGATGGTTATTTCAAGTTATTTCAATCAGTAAGAGAGTTTAGCAAGATTTCTGGACACAAAGTCAATGTTTAAACATCAATTGTAGGGGCGCCTGGGTGGCTCAGTCAGTTGAGCGTCTGACTCTTGGTTTTGGCTCAGGTCATGATCTCAGGGTCGTGGGATCCAGCCCGTAGGGCTCTGTGCTCAGCCGGGAGTCTGGTGGTGATTCTCTCTCTCCTTCGCCCTCTGCCCCTCCCCCCAACTCGCAAGCACACGCTCTTTCTAAAAATAAATAAATCTTTAAAAAAATCAATTGTATTACTTAACACCAGCAAACAGAAAATGCAGTAAAAAAGGTAACCTTTTTCAATAGCATAAAAAATACGAGGTACCTAGAAATAAGCTGGAAAAAAAGTACGATCTTCACGGAGAAAATTATAATAGCTTATAGAGACATACCGCAGAACACCTAAACAAATGAAAACAGATACATGATGCTCACAGCTTGGAGGGCTAAATTTTGTCAAGATGCGTATTCTTCCCAAACTGATTTAAAGAGTCAATACAAACGCAATAAAATCCCAACATGTTTGTTTGTTTTGACAGGAACTTGACAGACAGAATGTAATATGTATATAAAACATACAAAAGACCAAGAATAGCCAACATGCTATTGAAGAAGCTCCCCCATCCTCCTAAAATCCAGAAAACAAAGTGGGAGGACTTGCTCTGTGAGTTATCAAGACTATTTCTTTTTTTTTTTTTTTTAAAGATTTTATTTATTTATTTGAGAGAGAGAGACACAGCGAGAGAGGGAACACAAGCAGGGGGAGTGGGAGAGGGAGAAGCAGGTTTCCTGCTGAGCAGGGAGCCTGATGCGGGGCTCGATCCCAGGACCCTGGGATCATGACCTGAGTTGAAGGCAGACGCTTGACCATCTGAGCCACCCAGGCGCCCCTCAAGACTATTTCCAAATGGCCAATACCTAAGTATAAAGGGCAAACTATAAAGCTTTTAGAAGCTCTGTGAAGGGATTATTATTTTGATGTAGGGGAAGATGTCTTAAACAGTAAACAAACAGAACTAATCAATCATAAAGGAAAATGTTGACACGAGTAAATACATTAAAAGTAAGAACATATGTTCATCAAAAAGACGCCAAATGCAAGAATATAGTCACAGCAGCACTGGTCAAATCACTAAAAACTGGGAAAAGCAAAAAGTCTGTCAGCAGCAGCCTGGACAGATACACTGTAGTATATTTATGCCAAGCTCCACAGACAACATGTGAACCTCACAAACATAAGCTGAGAAAAGCCAGACACTGCATGATTTCAGTTGTGTAAATAACTGGCTACAAATCATGAGCAAAAAGGCAGACAATTCAATAGGAAAAAAATGGGTAAAACACTTGACAGTCATGTCACAAAAGGGGAAATCCAAAAGGCCCATCATCTGCTTTCTTGTGATTAAGGGAAATGCACAGCAGAATCACAATGAGATACCATTAATCAGTCAACTCAGAAAAATTAAATCGAACTGGTGTTGGCAAGGATGTGGAGCAATGAAACTTTCACACGTGGCTGGCAGAAATGTAAATTGGTAACATCACTTTGGAAAACACATTACCTAGAAAAGCTGGAGATGTGCAGACCCCAGGACCCAGCGATTTTGCAACCAGATATACCCGGGAAGCAACAGTTCTCAAAACTTTCTGGTCTCAGAACACCTTTATGCTTTTTTTTTTTTTTTTAAAAGTAGGCTCCATGCCCAACATGGGGCTTGAACTCATGACCCTGAGATCAAGAGTCACAGCTAGGTGTCCCTGGATTCAATGAACTTTTAATACTTTGTTAAATTCAAACTCACTGATCACCTTGCACTAAAATGGATCTTTTACTCAGGCTTTTTTTTTTTTTTTTTAAGATTTTATTTATTTGATAGAGACACAGCGAGAGAGGGAACACAAGCAGGGGGAGTGGGAGAGGGAGAAGTAGGCTTCCCGCCAAGCAGGGAGCCTGATGTGGGGCTCGATCCCAGGACCCTGGGATCATGACCTGAGCCGAGAGCAGACGCTTAACGACTGAGCCACCCAGGCGCCCCTACTCAGGCATGATTTTTAAAAATCAGGCATTCATTGGTCATTTGGAAAATATTGGTTCACTGATCTTCCAAATCCTGATGAATTTTATTATACATATAAAAAAAAAAGCGCACCACACTGATGAACCAATCTCATCAGAGGGTTTTGAGAAGCTCATAATGGCCGATACAAATTTTTCAAAATTCTAATTTTCTTGGAAGCCTGAATTTTATCATCGGCAAAACATTCTGTCAGTTGCTTCCCTTAAAGTGCTAGGCTCACTATGTTCAGTTTTTAGGAAATATCTGCAACAAACCCAAGTCTGAATAACCCTAGTTGTCAGTTATTCTCTCAAGTAAAAATAATGTTCCATTAAAAAAGGGGGCTAGTTCAAAACTCACGAGTTAAGTCATCTCACAAATGCTTACCCTCCAGACAACAACCTTTATACCTTGGCACACAGCAGTGTTCCCATTTTGTCACACAGAATGTTAAAAATACCCAAAAGACGTGTACTCAGGGATCAATCTATTTATTAATAAAATTAATACCTGCTACTGCTTCATCAAGGGTATTAAGTGATAAAGGAGTGTTGTTTCTGTTTGTTTTTACGGTGAGTGCTTAGGAGTGAAAAACAGATGCTTATTGGCCTGCGTTCATGTCCTGGGTTGTGAGTTGGTTTATGCACTGGGTTAGGTCCTGGGCTTATGCACTGGGTTAGGTACTGGGTTTACGCTCTGGCAGTTTCTCCCACCACAGCTCTCACACCATCGGTGCAAGTGTCAACACAGAGAAAAAGGACAAATTATGTCTCTGTGTTGTTTTGATCTCACAGACTTCTCACTCCCACCCCAGGGTCTGTGAACCTCATTCTGAAAACTGCTGTCCTAGAGAAACCCAGATAGACTGAGATACCCATGATGTTCATGACAACACGGCTCCTAAAGCCCCAAAATGCCCACTGATGGAAGAATGAATCAAGAAATTACCATGTGGCCAAAAATACTATTCAGCAAATAAAACAAATTCTGTAGTGCTCCACGGAACAAGTGGTGCTTTTATCCATAGGAGCAAACTGGTAAAGCATCCATTGCTCCAGTAATTTTTTTTTTAGAGAGTTAGAGCGAGCATGTGTGTGTGCACAGGAGAGGGGAGGGGCAGAGGGCGAGGGCGAGAGAGAATCTTAAACAGGCTCCACTCCCAGCACAGAGCCTGGTGAGAGGCTCGATCGCGTGACCCTGAGATCATGACCTGAGCCAAAATCAAGAGTCGGGACGCTTAACCGACTGAGCCACCCAGGCGCCCCTGTGCCAGTAATTCTGTAAATGTATTTGAGTTACAATTTTCCCTAAGGAATAAAAAAAATCATTCTCAAGAGTAGAAGCTATTACTGAAAAACAATTTAGGAAGTCTCCATAGATTAATCTTGAACTGAGAAGTTCGTTTCCTCTCTTCACCACCAGCATGTTTTCTTCCCGATTCTCTCAGCTCCTCAGCTGCCATGGGGCAGGGCACTCCCTTTTTGATTGCTGGCGGTTGTCCAGAATTTTGTCCTTGGCCCCCTTCTCTCCTTACCTCACCTACTATGTATGGCTGGGAGACTGCTCCACACTGAGGACTTCTACCTCTCACAACTCACTGAGGTGCTACAGATCTCTCTCCCCAGCTCACTAAGACCTGGATCCCTACCCGCTACTGTCCGATGGACACTTCCCCTCAGACTTCCTGTAGGCAGCTCGCATTCTGTACGTCCACAACTGAATTCATTACCTTCTTCCTAAACCTGCCCTTCTCTCCTCACTGTCCCCTTCCCCCATCTGATTCTGCCTCAGACGACTTCTTTCTCTTAGTCCCAGCCTCAAGTACCATTCCTCTACTTTCACATCTGAGTGAGTCACCCATGCCAGTGGCTGGAAATTGCCTTCCGGCCTCTCTCCTCCGAAGGAGTTGTGAGGACAAAGACTAACTCTGGATGTCAGAGCTCCTCTGTATTTTCACACAGCAGGGAGGCAACAAAATGTTCACTGAGTGAATGAAAGAAAGGATTTTATAGAACTTCTCATTCTAGCTTCCTTTAAGAGAAAGTGAATCAAAGGGATCTTAGTGCTTTTTTTAAAAAAAATAGGGGCACCTGGCTGGCTCAGTCGGTAGAGCATGCTGATTCTTGGATCTCAGGGTTGTAAGTTTAAGCCCCACTTTGGGTGTAGAGATTATGTGAAAAAAAATCCTTAAAAAAAAAAAACAAAACAAAAATAACATTAAAGAAATAAAATAATACGTGTTCATGATAGGGATTTTTGAAAACCCAAATATTAGGATAATATGTAACTTTACCATCAAGAGATGTATTTATTTCTGGCTTTTTCCTCTGCACATGCATGCACATACACACACGTCACAAAATCGAGATCAGTGTTTACAGTGTGTATAGAATCGATAGATATTGAGATCCTTCAGTCTCTGGGCTTCATCTATTTCTATTTTCAGTCTCGTACAGACTTCATTTAAATGATTTTGTTTGAGTAATTAACTACTATGGAACTCAGGTCTGAGATGACCACAGACAGAGTTCAGACCCGCTACAGGGTGAGGCACCTCAATTTTGCATCCTGCATGTTCTTCTTAACATTATGTTATGAAAACTGTCCCCATCAGTAAGTGTTCTAGAACTGCCGTTTTAACGGCTAAATGACTATATAGTAGTCCTTGCTTGGTATATACCAATAATTAGCCTACTGTTGGGTATTTATATTTTTCCCCCAGTGAAACTGGTTACAAATGATAATGTCTCTGTAATTTTGGTCTGAATTCCTTCTCCCTGAGGACAGATTCCTAAAAGGTAATCTCATCTCCCTGAGGTCTTTACACAAGCCTCCTCTTAGAGAGGCCCTTCTTGGTCATTCTACCTTAAAAAATGTGAACTTGCTCTCCCAACTCCACATTCCCTTTCCCTGCTTTGTTTTTCTCCGTAGCGCTTCTCCCCGTATGACACGGCACCATGGAGTATGTTATGCCCATTGTCTGTCGTCCCCGCTAGACACAGGACAGACCCTGGAACAGGGAATTCAGGTGACTTTGTTCAGGGCTTTGTCCCCAGCACGAGGGGCAGCGTTTGGCCCACATAAGGTACTCAGGTACTCAGGAGTACTCTTTTCCTGAATGAATCCAGGCAATTGGCCCATTATCACCCAACTACTTTTCTGAAAACTTCTGAAGCTTCCTCCAGCTTGGCAAAACAAAAGACCGACTGTTTCTCTCTACTCTCAACTGAGTATCTTCACTTTGAAAATCTTTCACAATGTGATGGGAGGAGAAGAAAATGTTAAACTGGTTTTTCTTGATTAGTGAGATTTAATTTTTAAAAGTGATTATTAGTCACCTAAATCTCTTCTCAGAATTTTATTCATATTCTCAGCCTACTCTTCTTGGGAAGTTTTATTAAACTTTTTTTTTTTTATTGAGGTGAAATTCACATAACATAAAATTAGCTATTTTAAAATGTATCACTCCATGGCATTTTGTACATGCACACTGTTGTGTAAAAATCACCTCTCTCTAGTCCCAAACATTTCCATCACCCTGAAAGAAAACCCTATACCCATTAAGCAATCACTTTTGGTAAGTTTTGTGTTGATCTCTTTGATTGGAAGAAGCTCATGAGAAATTAAAGATAACAATCTTTTTTAGATTGGCTGTAAATATTTCTCTTAGCTTACTGTTTAACTTAAAATTTTTAAATATTTATATACAAATTTAAAACTTATAAACAAGATTTTCCAAGATTTTTAGCCCTTTATCTTAAGCTCAGATATTCACTTATATGTTCTCCAAGTTAGTTTATGGTTTTCTTTCATTCCTTTTTATTGTTGTTTTATATTTAACTTTTAAATTTATTTTTGTAATTTATTTTAGAATATTACTGACTTTCTGACAGGATCACTTTAGAGATAAGGTGATTATTGTTTCTTATTTTATTTAAAAAAATTTTTTTAAAGATTTTATTTTTAAGTAATCTCTATACCCAATGTGGAACTTGAACCTACAACCCCGAGCCAGAGGAGAGTCACATGCTCTATGACTAAGCCAGCCAGGTGCCCCTCTTATTTTCTTTTTTGTGGCAAAATATATATAACATAAATGGGCCATTTTAACCATTTCCAAGTGCATAATTCTGTGGCATTAAGTACATTCACATTGTTGTGCAACTGCTGTCGCCACCATCCCAAATGGAAAATGTCCCCATGAAACACTAACTCCCCATTATCTTCCTCCCTCAGCTCTTGGCATCACCACCATCCTATTTTCTGTCAAAGGATTATTTTTTGAGCAAAGCAGTCCCAAACTGGATGAAAACCAAACTCGTTTTTAAATTTCGTGCCTCTGAAGGAAGAAATTAAAAACGAATTTCTCCTTCTCACTTGCTCTGTTCAATGTTGCTGTTTATTTCTAAAGGCCCAAGATACAATGTGAGGGCAATCTCAAAACAGGGCAACTTTCACGTACCTGGATAACATCTGCAGGCTTGTTTATGTGTTCTTTAAAGATCAAGATGGTGGGGGCATAGACATTGACATTGTACTGTCTTGTCATCTCTTCCGCCCCTCTCAAACCGACGTGTACATATCCAAATGACAAGTAATCTTTGTATGCAAAAGCAGTCAACTGTCAGGGTGTAAGAGAGAGGAAGAAAATTAAACTGGTAGTGGGATCACACAAACCCAGGTGTGACCAGTTCACACCAGTGGTGGAGATGAATGCTAGCTTGTATAGCCCTACTCGGGCTGCTAGACCTCTGTGCACTTGCAGAAATTCTATGGTGTTCCATAACCAAAAACTGTACCCACAAAGCTAAACACAGTGAATTTTATTTTTCTTTTACAGATGGAGAACAATATCCAATTTACTGAGATCTACACTGGGTTGGAGACATGGAGTGTTTGAGGAATCACCTCAATTATGGAAGATGGCAGTGACCGTGCCGGAGGTTAGGCGGGACACTTTCCTCTCCCATCTCATGTCACAGGGCTAACCAGAGGGGTGCTGGAAGTGCTGCAGAGGGTGTCATTCAGAGAGCGGGTCTGGGAATCATGCAATCACCACGGGGGTAGGTTATATAACCTCTCTGAGCTTCAGTATCTTGGTTTGTAAAACAGGGATGATACCGTTATCACTGGGCTCTTCTGAAAATTCCATGCTGTTATGTGTGTGGAATGCACTAGCACATTTAATGGCACCAGGAGGTGCTCAGTGTATGGTGGTTAAGGCAGATTTCTGGTCTTCAAACATTTCTCTTTGGATAAGCTCTTACAAAAAGGACAAGCAGGCCACAAGTTCCTTCCACCAAAAAAAGAGCAAACATTCCCCCAGCACCTAGTATACCTTGTACAGCAGTGGTACGGCGGGCATCTGGTCAAACAGAAGCACATGAGGTTTATTCTCTTGCTGCCAGCCAGAGAGGAATCGGACGTAATTTTTATTTGTAACCTTAAATGGAAGAGAGGAGGTTAGTTTCAGTATTCAGTTCTCAACGACTGCATTATAATGTAGTCAGGAGATAATGAAACAAAATCAAGTATCTGTAAAAGATTGTTTTGTAAAAACTAAAAAAGGCAGACCACTAATCTTTTGTCTCTGTTTGACTAAAACGGTTTAAAAGAATAGTTACTGATTTCATATTTTCATGTGTTCCCAGTCTTACAGACTGAAATCACAATCTTTTCTGGAGTAATTACTGAGCACGTTATAAAAAAATCGAACTTTTGAATTATAGACACGCTTCTTAATCTGTTATAGACTGTCCTTCTTAATCTATTACCCTGTGGAAGATAATGCCATGATTGCTTTTAAAATGGCTTAAAAGAATAAGGGGGCCCACTTGGTCTGTATGTTACACAATTTCATTTATTACCATGTGAATTGCTACTTTTGTGCTTCGCTGTTTATGCCTTAAATAATCCTACTGAGAGAATATAAAAAACACGAATAAAAATTTTACCTAGAAATTTTTCATAGTTAAAAAATCCATTTATCTTTCCATTCTGCTTCCAGAATGATCTCTATTAAACCTCTATCTGATCATTCACTCTCTGCTCAGCCCCCTTCAATGGCTCTAGCACCTGCAAACCAAAGTGCGAGTTCCTCACCAGGTCGGCCGGGCTCTCGGAGGTCCTGGCAGCAAGATTCCTGTAAACCCCTCTCCTGCTCACTAGTGACTACCTCACGCAGAGCTGACTGCTTCGTGTCCCAGACCTCTGTCTGCCTGCAACTCATTCCCTCTCTCTCCTCACTTGGTGAACTCAGTACAGGGACCGTTTCTGCCAAGAAGCCTTTCTCAGCTCTCGTGGGCAGCCTCTCAGCAGATGAGATGGAAATAATCACCCACTAGACTGGGAGCTCCTTGAAAAGTGTCCTCAACACTTACAGTGACTGGCAGAGAAAAGACATTTCATAAATGTTCGAGGACCCATCTGGACAACCTACGATCATTCTAGGAGCCTGCCCTGCTCTCTGCTAGCTCCAACAAATATTTCTTCTGTGGATAATGATCCTGGTGGGATAGTCTATGAATAGTGCATGTGGAAATAGGTTGGAATCGTTGGTATGTTCACTCTCCCTGGTATAGTTAAAGGAATGAACCACTTAAAGCAAACAAGAATCTTGTTTTAGTTCCTTTGATCCCTAATCCAAGGTACTGGAGGAAAAAATGCTTCTTAAGTATAAAAATCATAAAACTAGTATGAACTCCTTGTGCCTGGCTTCTTTAGTGCAATTTTTGTTTGTGAAATTTATTCATACTTGTATTACTCTAAGCTCCAGAAGTTCCAAAAAATATTTGACTTCATGGAATCTTGTGTTTTCCCATAGATGTGACTGTTAAATATATAGCCAAATGTAACTTAATTTGAATCCTTTCATAAGACAAATACCTTCAAATGAACAAACTCACGAGTCAGAAAGAAATCCTTCATCCTACATTGATTGAATTTTTTGTTTAGAATATCAGAGTCACTGTCATTTCAGGCTCAGATCCCCACCACCGTGTAAATGTGCCCAGTGGTTACTAACAGGGAGGGATTCTCTCCGTCTTTTCACCTTGGTTCAGTGTCCAACAGACTTCATTTAAATGATTTCGGTTGAGTAATTAATTAACATGCGTCTTGTCCTGTTCAAAATGACACTCAGGTCTGAGATGACCACAGACAGAGTTCAGGGCCACCAGTGCTCCCAGGTACCTTGTAAACTACTGTTCCGCCAGGTACTTACTTTCTCCACCAAGTTCCCTGGAAGCAGACTTTCTACAAACTGTCGTAGGTTCTCGCGGACGACTGCATTATGGAAGAAGGAGATTTTCCCATTTATGATTCCCAGGATAGAGGGAGTGCTATGCGCTCCCAGGTGATGGGCCAGGCGTCTCTCGTACCCAGCATGCACCACGCCAATTCCTACACCTGCAAAGTATGGAAGACCTACATGAGGCCTTTTTATGCCCCATGGCAGATGAAGAAATGCTGGTAAGTGATTTTTTGGTGTGCAATTGAAATCCTGACCTAGGAGGGGAGGATATCTTTCCTAATAGGCTGATGGGCATTTTCTTCCATTGCTGATACTCTAAATCAGTTCAGTTTTATTACTGCAGAATAATTTGGCAATATTTAAGAGCTACAGATCTTTGTATCTTTTCGTCCCCATTATTTCGAATTTTGGGAGACCGTGAGAAAATACTTCACAAGAAAAGAAAGCAATCTGCTGGGGCACCTGGGTGGCTCAGTCATTAAGCATCTGCCTTCGGCTCAGTTCATGATCCCAGGGTCCTGGGATCGAGCCCCACATCGGGTTCTCTGCTCAGCAGGAAGCCTGCTTCTCCATCTCCCACTCCCTTTGCTTGTGTTCCCTCTCTCGCTGTGTCTCTCTCCGCCAAATAAATAAATAAAATCTTTAAAAAAAAGGAAAGCAATCTGCTCATAGTGCCTCTATTCACAAGGAAAAACACCTGTAAAAAGTCCAAGGGTTCAACAACTCGGCAGTCATTGGAAAAATAACTATGATTTATCGATAGAAGTCAGTCTTGTCACTCTTCAGAACAATTCTCCCTTTTATACAAATTACTCGGTAGAGATAGATATTAGAAAGTACACACTCTCAAAAGGAGAAAGAAATTAAGTTGAAATCACTCAAAAGTCAAATCCCATATAACTACTGTTAATATTTTGGTATCCATCTGTACCTTTTCTTACACAAACACGTGTGTGGACACATATACCTGTATATAAAACAAAACCGGAGGCATCTGATACTCATTTCACTTAACATTTGAATAATTTTTCTTGTTCCGTTCTTCAACCAGTATATCTGGAGAGTCAGGTCCTCAGCTAAACATGGGAGGTACCTGAAATATTCATAGCCAGTAAGGACTAGTCCTCTCTTGGATGCCCAACAGATTTCTCCTGCTTAACATTTCCCAAACCCAACTCCTGCACTCCTCCTCCAGGCCCATCCCACGCAGGCCTCCCCTGGTCACCAACAGGGCCCCTTCCTTCCTGTTACTTGGACAGAAGACCCGAGTCATCCTCCACCTCTTGGCTCTCACACCCCACGTCCAATCTGTCAGCAAGTCCTGTTGGTTTCGTTTTCAAAATACGCCAGGAATCTGTTTGTCTCCACTTTCTTTAGATTCTCCTCTGAGTCACCATCTCTCTTCCCTGGTTGTGCAACACCCACCTAACGTTATTGTCTCTCCTGGTCTCCCTGTGGCCTGTTCTCAACTAACCACACTGTCTTCTCTAACACATAAAATGGATCATGGCACTCCTCTGCCCAAATCCTGCAAAGACTTCCCATTTCACTCAGAATAAAAGCCAATCTACACAAAGGCCAACAAGGCCCTTTGTAATTTGGCCCCTGGTCCCCTGCTGACCTCCCTCTCCTCCTCCCCGTTCATCTTGTTCCAGCACCCAGCGTCTTCCTCTTCCTTAAAGCCATTGGCATGTTCCTGCCTTAGGGCCCTGGCACTGGCTGTTCCTTCTGCCTGGAGTGTGTTCCTCCCTGACATCTGTGTAGCTGAGTCCCTCCTTGGCCAAATGCAAGTCCTTTTCAATGAGGCCCACCCGGCTACCATGTTTGAAACCATACTCTCCACACACGCGATCCCCCTCAACCTGCTCACTTTCCCTTTTTCCACAGCACTTCCCATCTTCTAACATATCACACACTTTGCTTTTTTCTGCGAGCCTGGTTCAGTTCAGAGATGTATCCCAAGCACCAGACCAGAGCGTGGCACACAGCGGGAGCTCATGGAAACCACGGAAACCCGGCCATCAGTGTTTGAATACCAAAGTTGCTTTTGGCTTTCACTATTACAAGGAATATTTTGCTGGGCACCCTTGTATATCTTTGCGTACACATCTTTGTGTACGTGTGTGATTTCCTAATTAAGTTCCAAAAATGGAATTGCTGGGTAAATGGCAGGGATCACAAGCTTAATGCATTAAAACTGCTAAGGAGAAGAAACAACTCTATCTGCAGCCTACCTGACTATGACCCTTGGAGTATCTCAAGGGCAGGTTTAAGGAGGAAACTTGGACATCACATGGTCTACTCCCTCATGTTACAGACAAAGAGCGAGCTTCAGAGAGATTATGTGATCCCAGTTTGCAGAGCTGATAGCACTGCAGAACCAGAACCCAAGCTGGATGTTCCAGAGCCAAGTCTAGTACACAACATCACACCACACTGCAGGCATTCCAGATAACTGTGGAATAGTGTCAACAAATGGAAGTGCTTGTGAAAACTGTGTGAGCAGAAGAGAGAACAAGAATATAGCAGGCACATACAATGATAGGTTCGGTTTTATGTAAAGTCAGAAGACATATCACCTAGGGATGTCAAGTGGCCACACAGCAAAGGCTCAAGGGTGGAATGACCATGTCTTGAACCCTTTCTAAGTGAGGCAGCATGGCTAGAGCTTTACATTCAATATCACTTCTCATACTTGCCAACATCCCGAGTGGTCAGTGCTGTTACCTTCATGCTCCCCGTGCCTGGGAGATGAGGACAACTGACCTGGTATCATAGGCAGCATGCAGCGGAACTGGGATCTGAACCCATGACTGCCTGAGTGTGAAGCCTGGCTCCTTCCTGGCTTGGAAGACTGACCTCTTCCACCGTGGGTTCTGAATACCGGAGGGATCAATTTCTTAGAGACTGACTCACCCTAAATGATCTTACACAGACCAGATGCCAATTTATTATCCAATCCCAGGGAGTACACCCTTCTAGAAACTGCGCCATTCAGGGTGCTCTCTGCCAGGTTTCAGGACACACAGGGACCTGAATTAGTAATCAGAAAGGTGGCTGGTGGGCCTGGAGTCGGGACGAGAGATGCAGGCAGTCCTGGAGAGCAAAGGGAAACTGAAAAGATGTGCACTTGCTGTTCACTCTACTCTTCTCCCAGATACCCCTGGGGCTCACTGTCACACCCCCAGTGGGCTGCCTCCTCAGCCAGGCCCTCCTTGTCTGCACAGTTTTCAGCCTGTAACCTTGTTCTGGCATGCTCTGCTACCCACCCTGCTTTACTAGGCTACAGCACCCTTTGTCGGACTCTGTGATTTACTTAGTTGGTGTGTACTCACTAGAACATAAGCTCTAGGAGTGCAGGGAGTTTTGCTTATTTTGTTTACTGCTGCATCCCTAATATCTAGAACAGTTCCTGGCACTCGGTTTTTTTTAAAAAAACTTAGTAGGCACTCGGTTTTTTTTAAAAAAACCACCACCAATGAATTAAAAATCAGTATTCACAATCAGATCCAGATTCAAGCCCAGCTCTGTTCCCCATTAGCTGTGTAACTTCAGGCACGTCATTTCACCTCTCTGGGTCTGTTTCCTCATTCGTAAAATGAAGATAAGTTGTTCTGTTGGGACTAAATCACATTAACATAAAACAGAACCTAACCCCGAGCCTGGAATACAATAGGTGCCTAAGTAATTACAACTGTTATTATTCAGTATTATTTCATCCAGACCATGGTGAAGCCTGAGACCGAGACTGTGTCTGTGGGGGTGGGATTTTTGCCTCGAGCAGCTGGTCTCCCCCTGCGGGGCGGTACACACACGGCAAACCCTAGCTCTCTTGGCTGTCCTTCTCCCCTCTCCTGCCCTCCCATCCGTACAGCTTCTTTCCTGGTTAGAACAGGATACAAGTGGTTAGGCTTCGTTTCTTTTACTTAAATTACCGTTGAGTCCTTACATACATCACCTTCGTTAAAAGTATTTCCAAATCTATAAAGGCCATTTTCTTGGATCATTTCTACAAAGGACTTCGATTGTTACTATCATAATCCACTTCCAAATTCTGGAGGAATTTTACCTCTCTTCTGTATTAACTAGCATATGGATTAGAATAGAATAAAGAATGATAAATATTTGGTGTTTCAATTGGTGGTATTTTTCTTCCTGAGAAAATATTTAATAAGAATTCAGATCTAGGGGTGCCTGGGTGGCTCAGTTGGTTAAGCGTCTGCCTTCGGCTCCGGTCACGATCCCGGAGTCCTGGGATCGAGTCCCGCATCGGGCTCCCTGCTCAGCATGAAATCTGCTTCTCCCTCTCCTTCTGCCCCTCTCCACCACTGTTGCGCGTGTGCGTGCTCTCTCTCCCCCTCTCGAATAAATAAAATCTTAAAAAAAAAAAAAAAAAGAGAGAGCGTTCAGGTCTAACCCTCCCCCCTCCCCACCCAAGCTGGGAAGGAAGAGTGAGAAAAGCTGGCAGCGCTGATATCTCACAGAGACTCCGGCTGGGAAATGACCAGCGGCGGGTGGTGACTTGGGGTCTCTGAGTCACAGAGAACAACACAGTCTCCACTGTCTCCTCCTTTGCCTTTGAATTTTCTACACTTCAAAGTTCAGGGTCCATAAAGCAAGCTCAGTTGGCCAACAGCAAGTAAAACTATCCATGTATTCTTATCTTGATTTAGCATAGCTTGGCTAGAGGACAGACGGACATGCCCCAAATCCAAACACACAGGAGTAGTGAATTTTAAAAGAAAGGAAAAGCAGATGCGACCTTTTCCAGAAACATTTGATTTTGATATGGATTGTCGTTTCTGGCTAATTTGCAGATCCTGGGTAATTAAAAACACTAACATTTCCTTCTCTTCTTGAGGTTGTAAGAAGTCCTCCTTCTGTACAGTACTAAACGTGTCCATGTTGCACCTCTATTTTGAGGTACCAATGTGTATTGCAACTTTTAGGGAAATTCTTTTTCTCCTTTATAACATAGACACATCCTTTTTTTTTTTTTAAAGATTTTATTTATTTATCTGGCAGAGAGAGAGAGAACACAAGCAGGGGGAGCAGCAGAGGGACAGGGAGAAGCAGGCCTCCCGTCGAGCAGTAAGCCCAATGCGGAGCTCGATCCCAGGACCCTGGAATCATGACCTGAGCTGAAGGCAGATGT